GATTATATTTAAAAGAAATTTTTAAAAAATATTGATTAGAACAAAAGTTATTCCATTTGTCAGAATGTCAGATCTCTTTGGGACACCCTATATAATGTAGTAATACAAAACTTTGACGCTCTATTGTGATCATATAATACATTTGTTGATTAAGATTATACGTTTGGTGTTTTTGAACGATAAACCCCTATTAGTTCTATATTTAATATCCGGGATGAAGCACACAATATATTGGATTTTGGCGCATTTGTTCTATATCCGATTAATATTTTTTTCGATATTGTCTTGACACTAATGTATGCCTATGGTAATGGATACTTTACTGATAAAATGATAAATCTATTAATTTTACTGATATGAGAGATGACATGAATTTGAAACTGGATTTTATTTAACCACTATTAAACGATATTTTGTCCATATGACCATATATAATATATTATAGAAATTTCATTTCATATCAATAGTTGTCTCATCTGCATTAGCTAACAGCTTTCTATTGATAGGCCTTTTTTTTTTTTTTAAATAACTTTTTACGGTAGGTACATCAAAACTATCCGATTTTCTACTAACATACTATTGTATATATTACATTTTACTTATGATCGTCACTGGTGTTGAGAAACTCAAAAAACGTGCGTAATTTCGTAGTTAGAATTTCAGAATAGAATTAAACGGTGTTCTTTTTTTAGATAATTTTACTGTAAATGTAAGAAGTGTGTCTAATCTGCACATTAAAATAATACCTATAGGAACAACATAAACGTACCTACATAATAATAATTGGATAAATAGATGCACAATATACGATTTCACTAAAGCCCACAGACATAAATGCAGAACAAACGTGGTTTTTGATCGCATCATGACGACAACAGAGCACAGAGTAAAGGAAATTATAAAATTTATGCACTACATTGTCGTGCAATCTGTTTTGCAAAAAATAGAAACCATTTACAGTCAAAGAAATTCTCAACCTCAAATATAATAATATTATAGTGATTTTACCTGTGGGTACATGGAATTTAATTATTTAGGGTGTTAGCAGTGCGCGTCTAGTCGTCTACATCGCCGACGGGCACACGTGATATTATTTTATTATAATCATGGTGTAAGGACACGCGGCGAGTAGAAGGGCATGAGGAGCAATTGTGATGTTATTGGGGTAGGTAGAAGTAGGAATTATAAACTTTGTAGGTACATTAAAAAAAGTTATTTCGTTTAGGAAAAAAGCCGAAAATGACGTATCCAAAGTCACAAGTACCAAATAAAATAGAAATATGTAAAAAGAAATAATAGTATATCGTATTAGGTAGTTATATAATATAAAATACGTACACTCCATTCACCCAAATGCTCATAGACGGCTCGGGATGCATGCCGGCGGCGTAGCACGTGATGTTGATTTCAGTCGGCCACTTTTTCGGGCCAGTCGACGGGGCGCTGCTACTCGTCGGCTCTGCCGGTGTCGTGAAATTCACATCGCCGCCACTGCCTTCTGCGATATCATCTTCGTCATCATCGTCGTTATCGTCCACGGATATTTTGAAAATTCGTTCCGGTGCTAAAAAATAATTATAATATTAAAAAAATTAATAATCAAACTACAATAAATTCTAACTTAAATTTCGTATTTTAAAATTCTGAGACTTTTATTAACTGATCCTGTTAGTTAATTTCAGAGAAAAACACAAGCTCATTTATTCACTGTAAATTGTAAATCGAGTAGTTTTTTTTATGAATTCTTTAACTTATCTGAAATACATCGCAATATGATATAACAATAATCATTAGATCAACGTAATTTGTCTACAAATTCGAGAAACGTGATTTTTTAGTTAATCATGATGATTAGCTATGTAATGGGAAATATTGATGATAATAACGAACTTCATTAGATATGCCGGATATTTATTAATTATGATTATGCTATTCATCGGTGTCTGATCGAGTCAGGTTTAAACGAACCAAAATTCTATATGCGCGAAAACTGGTAGTAATTGTTGTAACTTCTACCTAGCAGTATAGTTGAGTTACAGGCTTTAAGGGTGTCTGCGCTTGCCACTGCTAGCCTATTTCAATAATAAACCTTGTGCTTGCCGCGGGGATGACAAGTTGTGAAACAGTTAACGTTTTGGAAATGCTTCTTGTAAAAACAAACAAGTTATAACTAATATAATAATAAAACGCCGTTTTAGATTTTAACAGATTCCTTCCATCATGGTGTTTCAATTAATAATATTTAACTCAATAAAGTTAGCAGCACACTCACATCATGTGTCTGTCAAAGTTGTGCTCTGATAACTTTATGAGGGTATATTATTTGGGATTCATGTGAACATCTGGTGTATGGTGAAAATTACCTGTTTGATATTTTGGTGAATATACGTAGATTATGACCGGTAAATACTTAACGTTATTTTTTGTATTTAATTTATCGGACCATAATAATATTTATAGGTATCATATTATAGGTTTTATGCTTGCATGTATTAGAACCATTAGTCCTTATACCATATTCTAAACTTATTATTATAGAGTATTGTCCTTAGTAAATAAAGATTAATAACTCGTTGCTTGTTTAAATTTAAATCAAACTAACATGTTCCAAAAAAGACATTTACCACCATTTCATAGCAATAAAAAAATAAAAAATAATTTAATAAGGATAATTCATAAGTGTACTGATTAATTCAAAATATCAGATTTTGAATAAATTTACAGTTAAAGCATAAATTCAGAGTTGAGCGTGTTTGGTGAATCACTCTATATAATACATTATACGTCTTGACGTAAAAAGTGTTATTTATATAATATTGTTTATAAAAATTCTCTCTCGTGGACTAAGTCCCGTGGTAAAATACAAAGTTTACAAATCTGAACGTATACGTTAGAGTTGTGCACTTGTACAGTTGTACCTTTATAATATAAATGTTACAAATATGTAGATTTCAGGAATTTCCATAAAATGCAAATTTACGATTATAATATCATATTTTTTAAATGACAACGACGAGCTGTTCTAAAACCCAATAGGACTTATATCCTATACTTATCCCTCATGCGCACGGTGCACGCACATCACTTGTTCGTGGGGTATTATTCAGTGTTTTTAATAGTCATTTGTTTGCGTAGGTAATGATGTGTGTATAAATAAATAATCCTCATATATATATATATATATATATATGTATGTACAATATTAATCTATGTACTGTGCAAGAATTAACATTATACATAGGGAGTAGATACGGACGATACGGTACATATATTATAATATTGATGTATAAGCAATAAATAAATATATTATACGTATATATGTATATTATGTGCATCATAAAAATATATATCATATGTTCTCGTACAATTTCCATTTATTCGTGATGGTTGAATAAATATTATATTGTAATTATACTTATACTGCAGAATTTCGCACTTAAATCCTATGATCTAAGATTTTCCCCTTTCCTGTACAGTAGGTACTATGCAAAACCAAAAACGCATAGACGATCGTGAAATAAATTTTCCAAAATTACACTAATACATGCACTTTAATATGATATACCTATATATAGTACCTATACCTAGAGAGAGTAAAATTTGTTTACTCCGTTTATTTTTTTTGATTTAACGGTGTTTAACAATAATGAATTGTCTGCAGTTTGGCGTTTTTAAAATGAATACATGATATTATTCGTACCGTACTAAAGCCTAAAGGTATAATGAAAATTATTTTTCAAAAATAAATTATCCCGAATAATTTTAATGTTAAATATACACACAGGCTACACTATATATATATATATATATATATATGCATACTTAAACCAATTATATACGAATATAACATTATTTATATACCTGAATAGCCGCATAGGTATTTTGCTATCTGCTTACTAGCTGTCGTGTAAGTAAACATTGGGGTCCGTTGTTTTTTTAGCATATTATTATATATTACACCGAAAGAAAGAGTGAAAAGAGTATTTTTCTGCAACGCACCATTAGGGTTGGTTTGTGAAAACAGCATACGTCATAGTCTTGTTTGCGGAACACGTACGAAAAAGAAAAATGTATACAGAAAAAAAAAAGAAAACACATAAGTTGATCGGTGGGGATTAAATTGACCGATTCATCTGCTACAGTGTGTACAATATTATATGCGATGGGCAGGTAACTTTATAATAAGCGATGAGCAATAACAGCTGAAACGTGTCCAGAAAGTTTGGGGAGACGCTAAATTTCCAGCGTAAAGTCAACCAGCATATTATAACAGCAGCTGTGGGTAACTATACATATGTGCAGTTTTGTATGCAAATATATTTATATATTTATGCATAAGACGAATGGTTAATTAAATTAATCTCGGAGTATTATCACTTAGTTATAGACACCATACGATGCACGATCAACCATCAGGCCGAATTAATCTTGAGTTTCCGGAAACTTTCTAGACAGATCTACGCTGTGCAATGCGTAAACCAAAATGTATATTTATATGTATTTACAGTTGTAGGTACTTGTAATGGCAAACATAATATAAAGTAACGGAGGTTCAGAAGCTACAAGCTGAGTTTTGCACGCAATATCCAATATTATATATGCATGTATTATGTATATTGTGTTTGCATAATGTATGTATGTGCTGATTGTGAGTGTGCATGATGTACAAACAGGACTCGTGGGGTGATGTGCACATGACAACGCCAGACATTTTCCACAAGACGTTTACTTATACGTCACAGACATTTCTGCAAATCCTATTTTATCTCATAAATATAATAAAATAAAATATTATATTTTATAGCCTATAAATAAATAAATAATAATTTATAATATTTTATATTTATTTATTATTAATTATTGATTTATTATTATTCATTATAAATTTAAATATATATATATTATTTTTGGTGCTGCTGGAATGAAAGGTTGCCACGCAATTATATGTTGGTTAATAATTAATAAATAATTGTGAAGCTAAAATCCCGTCACGGGCATATAAATATGCAAAAATCTATAAATGTAGATTGTCTGTTTGTGAATAGTTAGATAGGTACTTAGAAAATATTTATAACACACCAGTATACTTACAATAATTATCAAACAATATTACGCACCTAGTAATTATCTGTTAATTTATAAGATTCTATATAATTATATAAGTTGAAATGCTTTGATATTAATACATTGAACTTAAATAATTTTGTTTACCTAGTTTACCTATTTTGTTTAGATACCAATTAAATCCGATGTTCTTACAAAAATCACCCCAAAGTTGATGAAAGATGCATTTCTACTGCATGCTCCAAAAACTCAAGTGGCACTAAAAACAACAACACATATATTATCGTTCTAAAACGAATGCGTTCATCGTATCGTTGAAAAATATAAAATATGGTTGGTTCACCAGTTTATTGAAAAATCGCCAGAAATACTACAAATTACAGAATGACTTCACCTCAATCGACGACCACCAGAGGAAAAATAAATTAAACTATAACATCCTTTGTTTTGTAGGCCAGTCACTATATAGTTGGGCTACGAGCTGTAATAATGCTGTAAACTATCTGTAAATTACCAACAGTTGCGTTCCCAAAACGATTCCAGTTTTGCGGTTTATCTCGATTTTCCTATTCAATAAGCGTTTAGAAGATTCTCAAATCACATTTTTTTTTTTTTGTAAATTTCATTTTTTTTTTTCATGTTCAAGAATTAGGCTATATGGTCTTATGGATTCTTAAATTAAGTTATATTAAACGCAAGTTTTGTTTTCAAATTTCAGAGAATAATGAACTCTATGTTATTATTAAATGTTTTAATATTATTCGCGTTATCACCGCGAATTCCAATCCAAACATTTTAAACGATGCTTGTACGGATAAAATATGAAGTAAACATTGAAAATAATCTAATAAACAGAATACGAATGAAGTAAAGTATACCCAAAGGCCGAAATTAGCTTTTACGTTTCTAGTTAATCATTCATACAAATATCTATGAATAATAAATATAATATTATGTATAATAAAACGCACAATGGGCAGGTGGGTCAAATTTCCCAGAGCCAAGTGAAAACTTCATTATCCTCTAGTTATAATTTTGTTATACCACACTCGAATTAATTAGGACAAGCCAAAAATCATCCCTTCGTGGTATAAAATGAAATGAGACGTGTTTTTTTGTTTTTTTTACGGATACCTAGTACACCATCACCTACAGTTTTTCCGGCTAAAATCTATACACAAACAAATATATCACAACGTCATCACATTCTATCGTTTATATAATATTATCGTATAAAATTTTACAGTATACGGCGTAGTCTATAAAAAATACGCTCAAATCCGTTCGAGTGTATAATAATATTACTATATAATATCAACCAGCGATGCGGCCGATCGATTTCCACTATCCGGTTTGCCTGTACACGCGTACAAATGACATCTTCGTCGCGCACAATTACGCACTGCCGGATTTGGAAAAATTTGCTCAACGTGGCAGCTGTGTCGGACCACCTCCGCCTAGCCTCTATTCAATACCGTCATGTACTATTATACACGTTTA